GGTAGGAAGTAAGCCCCCCAGATTAGATCCAGGTGTTGTGGGAACATCAAAGATAAAGAAGCTGGACTTTCAGAGCACTGTGCTTGGGGCAGAGGATGTGATTGATGTGCTCCATGGGCCCCAATGTGGGGACCCTGTCCCTGGCAGGACCTCGCCCTGTTCAGAGCACCCCAACCTCAGCCCAGGGACCCCTGGTAAGTAAGGCTCAGTGTGCACCTCTTTGCCTTGTGTCTCTGGGTAACACTTGCTGAAAATATATCCTCATGTGGGATGCGTATCCAAACACACACACACACCAACACACACTCATACACATACACACACTCATACACACTCTCACGCACACAAACATACACACAAACATATACACACACACTCACACATGCACACACACTCACACACTTACACATGCACACACACATTCACACACATACACACTCATGCACACACATACACACACTTCACAAACATATACAACACATTCACACACACATACACACTTACACATACACACTCACATACACTCACACACGCACTCTCACACTCACACACACATCCTCACACATTCACGCATACAATTCACATTCACACACACATTCACACATTCACACACATACACACACACACTCCCCCCACACACACTCACACACATACACACACACACACATACACTCACACATACACACACTCACACTCACACACTTGCAGACTGGGATGGGATGAGCAAGTCCCTGAATGATTCTCAGGGCAGCTTCTCTAAGGTGCATGTGCTGAGGTCCTCCTTCTCCCTGGCTCCCTGTGACCCCCCCCACACACACTCCCTTTCCATTCAAGCACCTGCTGAACACTTATTGTGTGCGGATGCTGTCCGGGGACAGGCACAGCACCGCCCCCAGCTGTCCCTGGCACCCCAGCACAGAGGCCTGCTGGCTCTGGGCATCCTGGCTGTGGTGCCCACCTGCCTCAGAAGGAAGAGGAAACAGTGTAGAAAGAGAAGTGAAACGCAGCGCAGTTGGGCCACGATGGGGCAAGCAGCTGCCCTGCTCCGTTAGTCCTGCAGAACTGGACAGTTCACAGGAAGGAAGCCAGGAATCGGCCTTCCCTGTGTCCATGCAGCCAGGGGCACCAGCCCCAGATGTGCTGCAGTCC